ACACACACACACACACACACACACACACACACACACACACACACACACCGAGACAACCTCTCCAGTTCTTTTCATGCATAAATCAGGGAGCCTGGGCCAGGCTCCGTGGCTGTGAGGCTCGCTAGCAGAAGCTGGCCTGTGTCTGATTTGCAGCCTCCACCCTTGGGTAGAGTCACATTTCTCTTCTGGAACCTCCAGACCTATTCCCTTTAATGAAAACAGTAAGTATGTGCTCTGTAGCATTTGGACACTGTGACTGGGGACTTCAAGGGGGAAAGGCAGGCCGGCGGAATGCCACAGTCCCAGCAAAGGCTGGATCCTGGTGGGTGCTTAGCAGTACTGTGATAAACCTCTATGGGACCAAGCCATGGGTTGCATAATTTCTGTTACAGGCCACCTTTCCCTGCCCCCTACCAGAGAGACAATGGCTGACCTGATTTTCTTTTCTTTCTTTCTTTTTTTAAAAAAAACAAACAAAAACCCACTTTTCTTTTCTTTTTGAGACAGGGTTTCTCTGTGTAGCCTTGGAGCCTTTCCTGGAACTCACTCTGTAGCCCAGGCTGGCCTCAAACTCACAGAGATCTGCCTGCCTCTGCCTTCCGAGTATTGGGATTAAAGGTGTGTTGCTGTGGATATCACTCTGTATAAATAAAATGCTGATTGGCCAGTAGCCAGGCAGGAAGTATGGGCAGGACAAGTAGAAAAGAGAATTCTGAGAAGTAGAAGGCTTTGGCAGAGAGACACTGCCAGCGGCCGTGATGAGAAGCAACATGTTAAGATACCGGTAAGCCACAAGCCACGTGGCAACTTATAGACTAATAGAAATGGGTTAATTTAAGATAGAAGAACAGTTAGCAAGAAGCCTGCCACGGCCATACAGTTTGTAAGCAATATAAAAGTCTCTGTGTGTTTACTTGGTTGGATCTGAGCGGCTGTGGGACTGGTGGGTAAGAGAGATTTGTCCTGACTGTGGGCCAGGCAGGCAAACTCTAGCTATAGTGTGTGCCACCACTGCCCGGCTCCTGACCTGATTTTCAATGATGCTCAGCCATAGTGAGCCACCAAGCTGCTCTGCCCACACTGGAGCTGAGAGAGCCACTGCTGCTACCAAACATCCGGAGAAGGTAGTGCTTTCTATTTCTTTACAGTAACTGAGAAATACAAGTGTCCCCCAGAAGAAGGGGTCCCGAAGTGCTCTTCTATTTCCAGTCTTAGTGTCCTAGTAAAAAGTAACTCCAAAGATAAAATATTATCTTATCAATGAAGCAAGAAAACTGCTTAAAATCCTCCAAACAACATAGCTAAATTTTACCAATCTGTTAATGTCTGGATGGAGATGGAACATCCTCACATGCCTTGGTTCTTTCGTAGGATGAAGATTCCCAAAGGAATGGACTTTGTACTGAAGCTAACTCTACCCAGTAATGCTCTGCACAGTGTGACATCATCTGGGATTGTTCACTGGCCACCAAGAGATAGATGGGCAGTGCAGAACACAAAGTAATGTGAGACTAGAAAGTCAACAGGGCTCAGAGAGCAATGATGACAGCCTGCATTTCCTGTCAGTTGATGTTTCTAGCAGCTTTGTTTATATTGCCCAACTTGGAAGTAACCAAAGACATCATTCAGTAAATGAATGGATGAATCAGCTGTGGTACATCCACAGATGGAATATTACACAGCCTTAGAAAGCAGATCAGCAACTGAGCCTGGAAAACATTGTCCGGAAGTCACACATACATCCCTAAGTGGAAGAAGACAATGTGAAAAAGCTAAACCTGAGATACTGTATCCTTTCAGCTTTCCAGCATTTCTGGAAAAAGAAAACTATGCAGACAGCAAGACAATGAATAGTTGCCATGGATTAGGACTTGAAAACATGGGTTTTAGGTCAATCAAACTACTCAGTATCTTTCTAAGGTGGATACACTGTATTGCATTCAACATTTGTGCAAACCATAGAAGAGAAGAAAAAGCACAGACCACACAGTGCCTTGTGGGTGATAAGGATGTGATAAAGCCCTGGCTGGTGTCAGTGTCAGGGGAGGGGACATGCATACAGTGGAGGAGGGGTGCGCTGGAATTCTCTGTGCCCTTCATCTGAGTTCTTGTGAGACTACAATCTAAAGTCCTTTAATAAAAATGAAGATTGTTAATAGAGAAGAGGAAAGAGGAGGCTGAGAAGAAAAGAGAAGATAAAGAGGGAGGTTTGAATTCAGAGAACGCTGACTGTACCCTGATCCCTGAACCAAGCATTTTGGTACATCCTTTAACTACATGTATTACCTTCATTTAAAAAGTAGGGCGTGATAGAGATGACATCTCTATTTTACATGCAAATCAATGGGTATTTGTAGGAGTTAGAGCATTCTAATAAAGACAAAATAGAGTCACACATGAGAGAGAGAGAGAGAGAGAGAGAGAGAGAGAGAGAGAGAGAGAGAGAGAAGAGAGAGAGAGGATGCGTGCATCCTGATGAAAATGCACCTATGTGTGCATGCATGTGGAAGCTCAGTCAACTTCAGGCATCGTCTTCCTTGATCACTCTTTACCTTAATTTTGGGGACAGAGTCTCTCACTGAGCCTGGAGCTCATTGATTCAGTTAGACTAGCTGGCTAGTGACTTTCAAGGATTCATTCACCTCCATTCCCATATCCTAAGGCTGTGGCTGCAGGTACGTGAAATCGCCATCACCATTGTGACAATCATTGTCTTCATCATCATTGCAGTCAACAGCCTCTTTACCCTCATTGTCACCAACGCCCAACAGGCATGCAGATGTGGCATCACTGAATTGTTTTTTCATCTAGTTCTCATAACCCATCTTTGTAAGTAAGAATGCTTGTAATGCTTGTAGTGGGAAACAGCGAAGCATCCCCCAAGCTCCATACTAGTAAGCAACAGAGCTCAGCCCTTTTGGCCCAGACCCTGCTCATCTCCCACACTGCACCATTCCCAGCTAGCGCCCATGACTCCACAAACCACCAACAAACAATGCATCTTCACTCAGACTCATCCTCCTCATCTTCAACACAAGCAGTTGGTACTAAACGATTCAAGATTCCTTCACAATCCAGTCTGACGAAACTATCTAATTTCAGAACAGAAGCTGGGAGGAACAGTTGGGTTCAGGTTTGATTTTTCTGAAACAACATGTCTTCTCTCATCCCAGAGGAGGGGCAGTAAATACGCAGACAGACAGGGAACAGAAGACACTCCAAATCCTGCAAAATGAAACCATGTGGCCATCCACAGCTATACTGTAGAAGAGAAGGAAGTGGCATTGTGCAGTGCTTTCTCCGCCAGCTGCCAATCAAAGCTTCCTCCTGGGATGCTCCCAGAACAGTTGATCTGTGCAGTCCAGGGATCCTGAGGAAGCGGGTTGGGAGCTTGGCACTGTGACATCTCAAAGCCTACACCTAGACACCCAAGATACCCTTCCTCTGATGAATACTCATGAGAGCAGCTCACCACCTCTAAGGTAACTTAAAATCCCCATCTGTTTCCACTGCTCTCTGCCCAGGCTCTTGAGGTATCTAAGTAGGACCGGCCTCTTCCTTGGTGTTCTCGGAGTGGCTCAGTCCATTTTCAGTTCCTAAAACAGAGTGCCACAAGCCACATAATTTATAAACAATAGAAGTTTGGCTTAATGTTGTGGCTGATGTGATCCTTGGTGAGGACCTCCATGCTGAGCCACAGAAGGGCACACAAATATGAAGAAGATAGAGGCAGCTGAACTCAGTTTTTACCAGCAACCTTCTAGAATCAATTTAGGAGGTAGGACCCTCATAATCTAATCACCCCTTGAAAGATCTTACCTCTTAATACTACTGCAATGGCAGTTTAATTTCAATGTGAGTTTGGAGGGACATTTGGACCACAGCATAGGGAACATTTTTCAAAGACAAATTGGATCACAACAGACTCATATGCTAAGTATCATGGACAATAAAGTGGAAAAAATGCTGACATGCTTCCAAAAGCTATTCATAGTCTACATGTAACTTAGCCAGCTTCACCTGTGCCGTACTCTACCCCCATCTTGCAGCCTCCTCAGGCTTCTCACACAGTCAGGCCCCAGTGAGCTTCCCTGCTCTCCTGTCATGTTTTCTTTTCCCTCAGAATGCTCCCTCAGCTCCACTACTAACAGCTGGGCTCTGGTGTCTGGAGAACTCTTACCTAGATGTTAAAACCCAGCCCAATAGACTTATCAATTTTACTGTGATGTCTCTGCTGGAACCTGCCACTGCTATAGTTACGGAGCTTTCGCACAAGGAGAGCACATTTTAGGTAGCTGGGGTGAGGGTGGATATTAATTGTTGAATTGACAGGATCCGGAGTCACCAAGGAGACAAGATTCTGGGTGTGTCTTTGAGGGACCTTCTAGATTGGCTTGACTGAAGTGGGAAGCCCCCTCCTTAACTGTGGACTCGCACCTGGCTATGGGATGAAAGAGCAAGCTGAGCACAGACATTTGTCTCTCCCTGCTACCTGGCCCATAGTGTAACACCGTAGCCCCCCCCCCGCCCCGCCGTGATGCCCTTGAACTGTGAGCCGATGTAAACCCTCCCCCACTTAAGCCCCTTTGTCACAGTGATGGGAAAACATGTAATGCTGTTGGGTTTGCATCTGTTGATTTAACTGGACAAAAGGGGAAGAGAGCCAAACCCCTGCCGGATGAAATAACAGGTAATGTGGATCAATGCCTGTGTAAAGTTACACTCTGTCAGGAGCTCTACTGGGTGAAGTGATGGAGTCAAAAATAAAGGTGAGCAGAGAATAGCTGAGGGAAGAAAAAAAATCACAAAGTTGTTTGGCAAGAATTTGTGAGATATGTTTAAGAAACAGATATTCAGTGCTATCTGCCTCAAAAATCTCGAGAACCATGCAGAAAATGAAGGGTTATGGAGACATGGGACTCCTCTGAAAAGCTGCTGATAGTTTGGCAGGGAAATCAATATTCACAGCCACGAAATAAAAATAATAATAGAAAGGATTCAACATGCCACCAATGAAATTATGGGATTAATAAAACCCAAATCAAAAACTCCAAGGGGATATGTTCTAGTCCTGACAGAACAAAATTAATTTGGAAGACCAAAACCAGACAAGAGCTGTCTCAATCAGACCCCAGCAGGGGTTGGAGTAATAGTTGATTACCCAAAGCTAAAACTTAGAGGGAAGTGGGAATGGTGGAGAGCCACAGAAGCGACCAGAGTGCAGAGCCAAGCAGCGGGCCTAAGGCTGCCAAGTGCAAAGGTCTGGCTCAAAGTTTTAGTGACTTAAGACATTGCGGTCCCTGTACAAGAGGAAAATGAGCCATGGGACAGACAGGGTCCACCGTCAGTCAGTCCTCAGTATGGACACGGGCCTGCTTTATGTCACAAGAAATCACCTGCAGCCATGTTTGTGATACCTCCTTCCACGTAGCATCATGCTGTGAGCAGCATCCGTATTGCTGAGTACAGTTTTAACCCATCTGTGCTCATCGTTATACAGCATTCCTTTGGTTAAAAAAAAAAAACAAAAAACAAAAACCACATGTTGCCCTTCTACTACAGGTAATATACAAAAGACAACTGCGGATGAGGCACAGGTAGACGAGAAGATTAAAATTCTGGTTATTGTCTAAGAAAATACATTTGTCTAAGAGAGTTCTCAAACAGGTTACAAAAAGTGAATCGTGAGAAAAAACCCATGCATTAGATGATGCCAAAATCCCAGGGATGCCATCAAGGCCATGTAAGAGCAAAAAGACAGTTAAGAAGTGATGTGTAGTTGATGTATTTGTAAACACAAATCCCAAACATGAGAAGACTCCTTCCAAATCAGTTGATTACAAAGTTAAGATGCTTGAACAAAGTCCTAACCAGATAGGACACACAAATGATTAATAAAACTACAAAAATATCCCTGGTCTCACAAAACATGGAAAAGGAAATCTAAACTTTACTCACACAAGGGTGGCTAAGTAGATATGTCAGAAAATACTAAGTGTTGGCAAGGGTGTAGGTACTGCCCTTACTGCCAGAGGGATTGTAAATTGACACAAGTGCTCTGGGAAACTATTCAGCTGTATCTACTAGAAGATTACTTTTACATACACCACTTCTAGGAGCAGACCAGACAATATGCTAACATTTGCTCACCCCTGACTTGCACAAGCATGTTCTCATTTGGTACAAAATCATTGGTGGCAGCATTCTTTATAACAGCTTCAAAACTTGGAAATAATGCAGACACAGACCAATGGCAACACGAGGAAGGAAAGCATGGTACACTCACACAGTGGAACATTATATGGTAAGGAACAGGAAGACTATGTGGTTAGATTCAACACTATCTTACACACATACTATCTGTGTTGCATTTTAACTGCCGGCTTGACACTACCTAGAATCACCCAAGGAAAGTCTCAATTGAGGAATTATCTGCATCACACTGGCATGTCTTTGGGGGATTGTTTTGACTGTTAATTGATGTAGAAAGACTCAGCCTGTTGTGGGTGGCATCATTTCATAGGCTGAGCCCTGAACTGTGTAAGGGTGAAGAAAGCTAGCAGCATGTGAGCAACCTAGCAAGTGGGCATCACATGTGCATTTGGCTCTCTCTCTACTGATATCGGGATCATAGGCTGATAAAGCCTTCCTCTATTGTCTTTAGGTCAGGATATTTTATTAAAGCAGTGGAAATGAAACCAAGACGCTATTCAACATTCGTGAAGACAAGGTGAAATGATGGGGCCACTAACTGGTGTAGTGGGAAGTTTCTCCAGTCCTGTCTTGCCCAGCAGCCCAGATGAATCTTTCCCACAGCCATTTATAAAATAATTGCTCAGAGGCTTATAATAATTACAAACTATATGGCCTATGGCTTCAGCTTCTTGCTGGCTAGCTCTTTCATCTTAAATTAACCCATTCCTATTCATCTATATGTCACCACGTGGCCGTAGCATTACTGGTCTGCTGGCCTCTTCTTGCTCCCTTGGCAGCAGCTGTCATCTCCTCCGACTCCACCCTTCTCCATCTCATCTTCAGTTTGAGTGTACCGCCTAACCTTATCCTGCCCTGTCATAGGCCAATGCAGCTTTATTTATCAACCAATCTGAGCAACACATATTCACAGCATACAGAGAGATATCCCACAGCATGTCCCCCTTTTTCTGTCTAATCAAAAAGGAAGGTTTTAACTTTAACATAATAAAATTACATATAATAGAAGAGTTATCAAGCAAGAAGTACAGTTACAATATCTTATCTATTTGTATTTGGCAAAATTAAAGAAAACATTCTATCATCTATTCTATATTTGTGAATCTAAAGTTTTATATATAATTTGTCTTTTATCATGACTAAGGAAAACTATAACTACCTAGCCTTCAACTCCATCAAAGACCCCAGAAGGATATAATATTACCTGAGTAAACAGGGAGTGCATTGCAAGTAATTTCCATAGTTCTAGAAATGACAGAGACATCTGGCTGCCTGGACAGTCACCCAAGATTTCTCTGCAACATTTGGGCATCATCTTCAGCCTACAGGCCTAGCATATCTGACAGACTCATCTGTGAAGCAGAATTTTCTAAAGGTCCTTCCTACCTTGTCTTGGCAAGGTTCGGTAGTCCTTTCTTTTGTGTCCTGCTTGTCCATTTGGACAGCATACTGTCAGCAGTCGAGGCAAGGGTACTTTGTTGCCCAGTAGCTAACTTTTGCTACAAAGGAAGTAAACTCTATAATGAGTTTCTTTGATGCCCATTATCCTCTTTGAAGTAATTGTTGCTGCCAGGATCAGATGTGTCTCACTGTCCAGAAAAGTCTAAGTTCTTAAAACATTTTATATATACCATGGTATCTACATGGTAAGAAATGCCATATTCTATAGGTCTTTGAAGTGTTTGAAAGTTACCTACCTAATTGAAATATATCTATGTATACCTAGAAAACTTGACTAATATGATTACAAGTTTGATTATCATAGATGACTATTAATCTGTATTTCTTAATGATACATTACAATTTTAAATGAGTTGCATAAACATAATACCTTAAATAAGATTAGAAATATACATACAGTATAACAAAATTGACCTTAAATTTGTACTAATAAACTAAAATCCATACCAATGTAAAGTATTTTGAGATTAACAGTTGTTTTTTGGATTAAAGTAGATTCAATAATCTATCTTTTTTCTCACCATTTCTATGTCCTATCTGCCATTCTTCTTTTGGGAAGAGATTGACTATGACCAATAACAATTTGGAACCAACCTTTTAAACAAAGACAAACATCTATAATCATTTTGGGGGGGGGGGTTGGCATAGTCCTCTAGGCTACTTCCTGCTGATTGGGGGTATTGTTAATCTTATGGGAATTCTGAGAAAATTCAAGATAATGGTCAAGTCCTGTGAAGACTGGCTATAACTTTTGTTGATAGATACCATCTGTCAAGGTTCAGGAGGTTTCGCTTGATCAAATCTGATCCATCTTAACCTGGAACAAATCTATAGCCTCTTGCTTCCTGTGGAAACAAAAGCAAAGCCTCCTTTCCAAAGCAACATATCCTTAGATGCAAATTTTGTAGTCAAGATACCCTTTACATATATATATATATATATATATATATATATATATATATATATATATATATATTTAACTCAGCAGCCTTTATAATCAAATGTCTTTCTGCAGTTAAAAATCCTGAAGACAATATGATCCAGACTCTCTGTGTAATTTCCATCTTTACTTGGCTTATTAAATTTTTTATATATTATTTTATTTTTTAAGACTTTATTTTATCCTTATGACTATCTATATCCTTTCCCTGCTCTCTCTCAAGCCTATGTACCTTTTTACACACAATGTAAACCATTCAGAGTTTTATTCCATCTGGATCTGTCTTATTGTGTATCTATAATCCTTTCCTGGCCAGGAGAGATTTTAAACTGCTAAGATGCACGGTAACTTTGGCTGCTGACTTCACCCCATTCTGCTTTCCAACATGGTGTAGATATGTTTGCCGCCATCTCTGGGAGCCATGTTCATGGCCAACTCTGGGGAAGCAGTGGATCTATGTCTACATCAAGCAGTATGTAGCCCAGAAACTTTTTTTTTAAAATTTTTTTGGTCTTTACTAGCAAAGGCTAAATCTGCCATATAGCATGCTGCATGGCTTGGAGATGCCTCTTTTTACCTTGGTGGGAATCTGCCATGCTGTAGCTCAAGCCCGCACGCCAAAGCAGCTCTGTATCATGGCTTGCATGAGAGACACAACTAAGAAGCTGTTCTTGGCTCATTTTAGAACCCTTTTTTTAAAACTTTCTTAGGTTTTAGGTGGAAATTCTTGACCCACATTGGAATGCCAGATGTTGCATATAAGATGTCTTATTATAAAAAACCCAGAGCTAGATATTGGGGTAAATGCTGAAAGATTAGAGAGACAAAGGAATAAGCCACAAGGGTTTGTGCAGTAAACTGGTACTTTCTTTCTGAGAGCTCTCTCTCTCTCTCTCTCTCTCTCTCTCTCTCTCTCTCTCTCTCTCTCACACACACACACACACACACACAGAGAGAGAGAGAGAGAGAGAGAGAGAGAGAGAGAGAGAGAGAGAGAGAGAGAATAGCTTGAGGTAGGCAATTGTAATTCTATAACTTATTCCTAGGGAAATAATCAGATATTCAAAGATCTGCATAAAAGAATAGTAATCACAGTACTGTGTGTAATAAAAACAAAGGAGACCAGCCGAATGTGCACCACCACCACCCCAGCCCCAGACCTCTGGACCTATATGGTTAGGCTGTACTTTGTCACTAACTAACCTTTTCTACCCTCAGATGGCACTAGAGAACAGGAGGAGATATCTTGCCTATTCATTCCAGCAGGGGGCAGCAATCCTCCACCAACCTCAGCTCCAGACACTACATTTGAATTGAATTACACTACAGTGAATACGTTGAATTCTTGCAGCATCTCTTTGCTCCAGTTGCAGCTGCATCAGTCCAGACATCCTGCCTGAAAGAAAAGGGAGATTTCAATGAAAGAGAATAAATGGGAATGTATGAAATTGTCCGCCCCATCCCCCCCATACATAACAAGCACAGCTCTCCAGATTTAATAAGCCGTATCTCATTCTCTCTTAATCCCACACCATGGGTGTGATTTCTCATAAAGTTAAACAAGCAGACTCAGAGGAGGCCATGCTCCTCATCACTGAGCCCTAAGTGGTAGAGACATAGTCTAAACCCAATCTTTCTACTACAATGCTGCCCAAACCCGAAGCCCAAAATGCCCTGAGTAGAGTGTGCGCAGGGGTGTGAGGGGAAAAAGTTTCTATTCACCTGCCTTTTCCTTGTTAATTCTTCACGACTGGATGAGGCAGAGATGGTTCATGTGGTTTAAAGGTAGATAGTGAAACTAGGGGCTTGGAGGTTAACGAACCCACAAAAGTCTCCAAAACTCCCACCCTTGGCAAAGCTGAAGCTGTTGTTGGAATCAGGGTCTGGCTTCCAATCTTGTCACTTAACCTGAGAACTGATGTAGGGGCACACCGAGGGTTTGTGAGAAGGTAGAAGCTTGGGATTGTAGATGGAGTGTCAGCTGGTTTCTCCCAGCCCCACACCAGCTCCCAGGGTAGCAAATAATGCCCCCCTTCTTCTCCTTGTCCCTTGGGAACCCCAGGAATTTGGGGGTACTCTGTGATACCCATCAGATGTTCCCAACCCTTCTAAGACCCATTACTATCCAGCTGTCAAGCCAGGCAGCATTTATTGAGTATCTACTAAATGCCAGGCTTTCATTGCAGAAGCATGAGCCTGCCCTCAACTCGGGGATGGGTGGATATGTAAAACTAAGTGAGAAGAAAACCACAAGGTCAACCTTGTGTGTGACGAAGCAATGCATGACTGGCACAGGTCAGCGAGGACTTCCTGAAGTGTGTGTGTGTGGGGGGGGGATTACCCATGCCTGGGAGTAAGACTCTGAAGCATGGAGGAAGAGACTGGCATGTGGCCTTGGCACGAGTTGGGTACTTCTGTAAAAAGAAGGGGATTGCCAGGCTAGGCTGAGGGGTCCTGGAGAGGTGGCTGGGAGTTGGGCCACAGGGGTGAATTGGAGCATATTTTGAGATTCTTGGGCCCCACTAATGTTATAAGCAGGTGGCTCCCAGGGAAGATGAAAGTGATCCCTGGGAAACAGCTACTGCATGCCTGTGCAGAGGAGGATGGTGGATGGCGCCTGTCGGGGTGGAGAGGAAGGGCCCTGGGCCACAGGCAGGGCTCCATGTATAGGAAACACTCCACAAATGCCCTGTGTGACAGCATCTCCCTCTCCCTCAGGCCCCAGCAGGTCTGTGCAAGGATCACCACCTCCGGGCTGATCTGTAGAAGGAGTGACAGGCAGTGGCGGATGATGTCAGGTTAAGCTACGTAAGGTTCCCTGGACTCAGACCAACAGAGCTGGGAGTTGTGACTGCCTTGAGGGCAAAGCTTCCTGGAAACCACTACATTATAGGACCTTCGTATCACAGATGTAGCAAAACCAAGGCTGGCTAAGCTTAGGAGGTGTCCAGCCTGGGCTTAGTGAGGACATGGAGGGTTCCAAAAACCCAGTGTCTCTCTAACCCAACAAGCGGAGAATCATTCCCAGAACGGCCACAGCGTGGAGAGCTGAGTGCCATGTCTGACTGTTAGATTCAAAGATGACAGGAATGGATCCTTGATGGCTGGGGTCTTAGAGGTGATAGGAATCTTGGAGGCAGGGAACCTCAGAGGGACACACTAGCATCGCCAAGGTCTCCTTTCTCCTGTCACTGATCACCTGGAAAGGAGGGAGGTTGAGGGGGCGTGTCTTGGAAGGCTCAGAGGAAAGGTGGGTAGGACCAGAAGAGCTCCCTTCCAGCTCTGCAGGTGTGGCTGGAGGTGTGGGCTGCAGCTCCAGCTCCCACAGCTGCCTGGGAAAGCAATGGTTTACATCCCCTAGGCCAAGCTAGGCTCCACAGGTATTTCCCTGAGAACAAGTAGGATCCCGCCCTGTCTCCGGCAGCAGCAGCAGTGGCTTGAGAGTGTTTGGGAGGCTGGGGAGACGTAAGACCTCATGGAGGCAGCTCAGGCTGGTGGGTGTGTTGTTGGAACCACTGCAGAAGGAAACCAGGGTAAGAGGGATAATGAGGTCCTGTGGGAGAGTCCTTGAATTGGAACCAGGGGCAAAGCCACGATGTCGCTCATGAGAATCGAGAGGAAATTGTCCCATGCTCACATGCTCACACACAGTTCTGTGTTCCCAGAAGATAGGACTGTTTGTGGACTCTGAGGAAAGGGAGCTTGTGATGGAAATTTGCATAGCCTAGGGAGATGACTCAGTTGGTGAACTGCTTGCCATGCAAGCAGAAGGACCAGAACTTGATCCCAAGAATCCACGGAGAAACCTGCAGGCTTTTAATCCCAGTACTGGGGAGGCAGAGACAGGCAAATCCCTGGGGCTCGCTGGCCCGTCAGCCTGGCTTACCCAGTTCCAACTCAATGACAGACCCTGTCTCAAAAACCAGATAGACAGCTCCTGAGGAATGACCCCCAGGGTTGAGCTAGGGTTGCTACATGTGTGCATCTACACCTCAGCACACGCGTGCATACACACACACACACACACACACACACACACACACACACACACACACACACGAAGAAATGAGGGCTGCAGAGAGGAAAGAGGCGACAACATCGTCATCAAGATCTCAGCCCTGCCTAGGGGAGGCTCCGAGACTCTGACAGGTTTGCAGGGCTGTGAACAGCTCACAGAGGCCATCTTCAGGAAGCCTCGGAGCGGTGGCACTGGCCCATGTGCTGAGATAGCATCTGAAGGGAAAAGAGACCGTGGCCGAGTGGGACCCCTCAGTGACAGTGTGATGAGAGGAAGACACGCCATCTTGGTATACTCTTCAGGACAGGCTAGCCCGTGCTGCAGTAACAAGTGGTTCCCAGTCTCAGTGGCCACTCTAACACTCCTTCCTCCCCATTCCCACTGAAGAGGGAGTACACGGTTCCCTGTACTCACTCAGAGTCTTAGTATCTGAACAAGACCAGTTCCCATGTCAGGGCAAGAAAACTCCCCAGGTCACTTTTCTGTCTCTACTGAGACGTTTCAGTCACTCAGCTGGAGCTGATGGATGTGTGGGAACACCTTGCAAGAAGACTTCAGCTCTGGGAATCTAAGTATGTCAGGGGGGGACTCCTCCCACTCCTCCTCCTCCTCCTCCTCTCCCTCCTTCTCCTCCTCCTCCTCCTCCTCTTCCTCCTTCTCCTCCTCCTCCTTCTTAGCAGGTGAGGGCGGGCTTTACTGGAGAAAGGAAGATAAGGTGAATTAGCACCCAGGGGAGACTGGCTGTGGCTTTCCTGCTGTTGGCTTGCGCTCCAGTCTGGCTAACCTCCACTCTCAAGCATCGGGAGCCATATCCCGAGAGCTCTGTCTCTGAGGCATCTTGCCAACCTTGCATGTCCTTGCAGGTGACCCAGCCCTGCCTCATGCCGACACCTGGGCCTGGCAGGCAGACTAACTGAGAAGAGAGACTCTGCAGAAGTAGTCAGTGAAGACAGGGTGGGAGCTCATAGCTATCCACCCTCGGGTCATTCTGGGCCAGCCCCAGTCCCAGCCCCTGCTCCCCACACCACTGAACTTGCCCTCTGACCTCTCAAACTTTTTTGGAACTCCTCTCTTGGCACTAACGAAGTTCTATTACAGGCCTCCAACTTCCCAGGCCTGATCCCAAGTCTAGTCTCAGGACTCAGTCCTTTCTCACATCTATCATTGAGCAAGATTTTTTTTTTTTAATGGACAGTCTACAGCCTGACATTGATCTCCTCAATGATCCTGATACCCAGCTCCACAATTCTGAACTCAGTGCCTTGCTGATAATAGGAGACCCCTAATCCCCATCCTCAACCAACCTCCCCACACTCAGTCAACTTTTGCCTCTGAGCACCCGGCACAATCCCTCAGCACATCCTTCTTACACTGAAATTATCCCAGCTGGCCCCTGAGTGTCTTTCAGAATGACCCACCATCCATCACTGCCTGGGAGTCCATAGCCTCTAGCCATTGGGCTTCCCTCTCTATTACTATCTCCCCTAGCTCTTGTCCCAACCCCACACCCGCAGGGTAGTCCATCTGCCTCTCTGGGACACCCTAGGATTCTCAGGATTCTCTTCTTCTGGTCTCTTCTTCCCCACTTCTCCATCTGAAATGCTGCTCCGAGCTTCCTCTTGCACTGATGGCCATTTCTACAACCCAGAATTCCAGCATGCCCACAGCTAGCCCGAGGCTTGGCCATGATTTGCATGGGAGAGTCCCCATGCAAGGAAAGAGCTGACTACTAGACAGCAAATACCAGCTTCCACTCTAGGGTCCTCTCCTGCCTCAGACCCCAACTTGTCCAAGATTTATCCTCAGAACTGGACCCCTCCTCCACTCCCTCTTCCCTCTCGTCTCCCTGTAGGTCCTTCTTTGTTCTGTTCTTACTAATAGAAACCGAAAATACTTCCACGGTGAATGGAATTTCTGGGCACAGCAGTCACACTTCTGTTTTATTAAATCCAGCAAAGAGCTCTTCCTTCCTAGTCCCTCCTTTGCTCCTGATGTCTTGAGATCTGAAATTACTGGGCCGGGGGGTGGGGGGTCCTTGCAATTCCAGCTGGCATTGCAGGCCGTGAGCTGTAGAGTGCAGGCAAGTCTGTGTGCAGCTCGGGGCCTTTCTCCTTTTGAGTCACTTCACATGCATTTCCCACCACACAGACCTCACTGTCCTTCCCAGCATCCTCCAGACTCCGGCCACAGCACTTCCGGACATGGATATGGGGAGTCTTAGAAAAACAGGCAGGAAGGCAGAAGGAGATAGACATGCAGGGATCTTGGCTAAGGATGCTCTGGTCAGGCAGGCTTGTGGGTGTGGGTCTGGTTTGGTCTGGTCACATCATCAGACCTTCTCTGGGTGTAGGATGAAGGAAATCAATAGACAG